TGAAGAGCCTGCTGCTAAAGAACCTGCTGCTGAAGAACCGGCCGCTGAGGAACCTGCTGCTAAAGAGCCTGTTGCTGAACAGCCTGCCGTTGAAGAACCTACCACTCAAGACCTGGTCGAACCCGAGCCAATACCCGAGGAGCTAGGTGCCGGTGACCCTGTTATTGATAAACCGGTAGCTGAAGAGCAAGTAGAAGGTTTATCTGCTACTGAAGAATCAAAACCAGAAGACCCAATAACTGAAGAGCCTGCAGCCAAGGAACCAGCAAGCGAAGAAGCAGCGGCTGTCGAGGCGGCTGTCGAAGATCCAGCGGAAGATCCTGTTGTTCAGGAGCCTGCAGAGGAACCCGCAGCTGAAGAATCTATTATTAACGAAGCAGCCACTGAAGAGGTTGGTGTTGAGGAACCCGCTGCTGCGGATGCGACAGCTACAGAATCTGAAGCCAAACAACCTGCTGATGTGGATAAACAACCTAAGCCCGAGGAACCTGCGAGTGAGGCACCAACACCAGCTCCAAGTGGCCCTGTAGAAACTTCAGATCAGCCAGATGAAGTGGTTATGGAAAAGGCGAGTGAACAACCTGCTCTTGTAGAAGAGACCACAACTCAGGAAATAGCTACGGCGGAAGAGAATATTCCAAATGAACCTGCTTCAGAATCAACACCAGTAGCGACGGAAGAGGCTTCTGCCGAAGCCCCTGAGGCACCGGTAGCTGAAAAACCTCAGGATGATTCACCCCCGGCCGAGGATGTTGTCAAGGAAGCAGCACCCCCTGAACAGCCAGCAGCAGAACCTGTAGCTAAAGAGGAACCGGTATCATCTCCAACAGAGGAACTGAAGACCATTAAGGAACCAACCCCACAACCCGCACCTGTTGTTGAGGAGAAGCCTGCTGAAGAAATCAAAGAAGAGCCAGTGCCGCAGGCCGTGGAAGCGCCTGTTTCAGAAGATACAGCTTCAAAACCTATCATTGAAGAACCTGCTGCTGTTGAAGATGCCCCTAACCATAAAGCTGCAGAAGAAGCTGCTGTTGAGTCCAAATCCAAATCGCGATCGAAGGAACGATCGAAAGAGCGATCAAAAGAAAAAAGACACAAGAAACACCGACGATCCGCGCCAGCCGAGGAGCCACCACGACCTTCAAAAAGTTCGGGAGAGAAGAAACCAAGCTCTCGTCGACCAAGAGCCGAACGAGAGGTGCGGTCCTCGCCGCCAGTCGATGCACCTGTTGAAGTGAAAGAGACGAAACACACTGGCCAAACGAGGCATAGAAGTAACCGCCCTCGGCCAAACGAGACTGAAGCAGAGCGAGCAGAAAGACGAAAGAGGCGAGAAGCCCGCAGAGCTGAGGCAGAACGTTCAAAGGAAACTGGAAGCCCTAAGGAGGAACATCCCAAGGAAGAACATACCCGGAACCCACCAAAGCGACCTCTTGTGCGGCGATTATCACTATCAGGCCGTGACCGACCTAACGCCGCCCCTAAATCTGCTGGCCCAAGTCAAAACCCGATATCTTCGCTCGCCTCCAAGCCTCTCGCTTTGTTTAGGTTGATTACTACTGGCCAATCAACAGCTCACCAGCCGGTCATGAAAGTGAATGAACGAGCAAAGTCCTCATCTCCAGTTCCTCCCGTCAAGCGGCCGTCACCTCCAAACACATCTGGCTCCTCTACCCATTCTCAGTCGAACTCGGGCTCTCGTTCGCACTCTGACAGGCGCCGTGAAAGAAGGTCAACCAACTCCGAGGAAGTAAGGGAGCGAGCACGACGAAGTAACGCCAGAAGTGAAGAGAACAAATTGCGTGAAAGGAAGTCCCCCAAGACCGATGAAGGGGCAGAGCAAGAAAAGCCCCCCAAGCCGAAGACAGAAGTACCGAAGCCTCGCGAACGAAGGCTAAGCAGAGGCGAGGACAGCAAAGAACGAATGCCTAGCAAACAGGAAGAAGCCAAAGAGAAAGAGCCAGGAAAAGAGCAAGAGCACCGAGAACATCGGGAGCACCGGGAGCACCGTCGAGAACGTCGACGGTCGATGAGACTCGAAGCCCCGGCGGAAAAGACTGCTAAGAAAGAGGACCCTCCGCCAGAACGACTGCGTCGACGCCGCTCGAGTCTACATAAACACCGCGAGGACGCTCCATCAAGCATGAGCTTCAGAGAGAAACTTCGACAAGTCCTTACCGCCGCATGATATTGCCCCATTAATGACTGTTATGATTGTTCATGCCATGTTAGCCATCTCACGATTGATTTTACCCCTACTTTTATATCTTGTTCTTGAGTTTTGTTCATGCATCATCCTATGAGCGTTTTTGAATGATTATTTTTGCCTGCTCCTTTCTCAAGTACTGCATATCACGAACATTACTGTTGGAATAAGGGAATGATGGTGCATTTTCACGGACGGAGTTTCACATATCGATCATATTCTTCAAGCCTTTTTTATTTTTTTTAGTTTTTTCCTAGTTCTCATTTCTTCTTCTAAACTATGTATGATCATGTATCCAAATTGCTATCTTATTTCCGGTGAATTAATGATCATGCCGACTGTATCTCTAGCCCGTAGACGTCCTCTTCAATACGTAGCCCTGAACAATGCAGGAAAATACCACTCTGTAACCTGATCACCAATCGACCCCAGAGTGTCAGCATCCATCCATCCATGTCAGGGTTATCCCGCCCCGTCCCAGGTTGTTCCGATGCCCGAGCCGCTGCAGGGGCAAAAAGTTACCTCGGCATCTCACACTGGCGCATGCGACTCCCGTGACGTTGTCAAGTTAAAAACAACCTCATCGGCTTGCTTCGCAGACAACCAGATCTCGCGCCCTTGATATCATTATCGATACCGTTCTTTTCAATTCCTAACAAGCCCCCGCTCGAGACGGGTCAATTGGCTACTCGTTCTCTTTTTTGGATAGCTCTTACGCCCAAGTTTTAAGAAATCAGCGCCAGGTCGTTGCAGGCATACCACCTACAACCACTACAAGATGGCATCTACCGCTCTCCCAACCCTTGAATATACGCCTGTCGAGGAGATCCCCTCGCGCGTGAAGAGTGTTCGGGCTACCTTTTTTGAACACAAGACTCGACCTATCGAATTCCGTATCCAACAGCTGCGGAAGCTTTACTGGGCGTAAGTGCTAGACATCTAGTACCGGTGGCAGAAGTCTCCAGTCTCTGCCCAGTATATTCATCCATAGTTAGCCCCAGCTGACGCTCTTATTTGTGTTGATTAGTATCAAGGACCGGGAGCACCTGGTGACCGCGGCCCTTAAGCAGGACCTGAACAGACCGGAGTATGAAGCTTATGTCGGAGAGATTGTGTCGACGCTCAACGATATCATATTCATTACTAAAAACCTACCCAAGTGGGCTAAAGATGAAAAGGCTGCTGATATCGACCTGACCTTTTCGCTGATGAGGCCAACCATTCGAAAGGACCCCTTGGGCTGTGTTCTGATTATTGGGTTGGTGCTACACTCTCTTCCTAACCCGACACCACATTTGGCTAACTATCTGCATAGAGCATTCAATTTCCCATTCGTCCTTACTCTTGGTCCACTCCTCGGTGCCATTGCTGCTGGCAACACGGTCGTGGTTAAGCCAAGTGAAGTTTCACCGCACTGCGCCGCCGTGATCCAGGAAATCATTGAAGCTGCTTTAGACCCCACTTGTGTATCTGTCATCCAGGGAAGTGTCCCAGAAACTAAAGCACTGCTTGACGAAAGATGGGATAAGATCTGCTTCACCGGCAGTGCCAGAGTTGGCCGCATTGTTGCTCAAGCAGCAGCCCCAAAGCTTACACCTGTCTTGCTTGAGCTAGGTGGGCGTAACCCTGCCTTTGTTACAAAGCGTGCGGACTTGAGACTTGTTGCCAGGCGTCTACTATGGGGAAAGACGTTCAATGCTGGTCAAATTTGTATATCACAAAACTACATCCTTGTTGACAGGGAGGTTGTTGATCAGCTGGTGGTCGAGTTTGAGAGGGCTATCAAAGAATACTATCCAAACGGAGCCAAAGCATCGCCTGATTACTCCCGTATTATCAACGAGGGTGCTTTCCAGCGCATCAAGCAGATGGTCGACAACACCAAGGGGAAGATCCTTCTTGGTGGATCCATGGATGAGAAGGAGAAATTCATCGAACCAACCGTTGTCCTTGTTGACTCTACCGAGGACTCTCTCATAACCGAAGAGAGCTTTGGGCCAATTATCACTCTCCTGCCCGTATCGAACTTGGACGAGGCAATTAGAATTGCAAATGACGTTGATGGAACTCCATTGGCCCTTTACCCATTTGGATCCAAAGAGGAGACCGCAAAAGGTATTGTTTTTACCTCCCTTCATTATGGTACATTTCTATGCACATGCTAACACCTTGATAGTCCTCTCCTCCGTTCGCTCAGGCGGTGCTTCTGTGAACGACTCATATATGCATGTTTCTATTTCAAACCTCCCATTTGGCGGCGTTGGAGAGAGTGGAACTGGTTGCTACCATGGCCGTAGCAGTTTCGATGCCTTTACACACCAACGCTCCATTACCACAACTCCTGGCTGGGTCGAGCGTATTCTCTCTATCCGCTACCCGCCTTATATCGGTAAACTCGGCAAATACAAAGCTGCCAGTCTCAAGTCTCCTAACTTCAACCGTGCTGGGGAACGAACCTATGGATTGCTTGAATGGATTACCTGGTTTATTACCTTTGGCAAGGGGCCAAACAGATCGGGTGCCGCAAGGGCCACTGCCGCAGCATTGGGTAAGTAAATTTTTTATCAACATATCTTTCCAAATAACTGCTTTCCTTTTCTCTGCTTGGTGTGCTATTAAGATCCTCGGGTCATCTGGTCTGATATCAATTTTATTTTGTCACCTCTGCAGACGCGAAATCTTCGTGATAAAACGTGTACGAGGTCATATTGTCTTACAGTGCTTGATACCCTTTCGACATACGTATATTTATGATTCCCCTGGGCTGTATATAAGATATTCTGTTGCAATAATTTTTATTCCCTTCAAGTCTATTCCTAATGTTTCATTGTCCTGCATCGACGCTTAGTTATGATGGTTGATATGCTAACAACTATTAACAGTCGCAATCGCTATATACCACTACACCAACCGTGGCCCAAAGCTCTAGGTAGCCATGCATACATACTCTTTTTCTCATACGCGTGTTTTACTATTCTCAAATTGGGTTGGAATTTTTGGCATATATACGTTCTTATAAACAACAATAGCTATAATACTAAAATAGTCTTCTTATATACGAGGGTGAAGAGACCATTCCACTTTGCTCCTAACTCTTCCATACCAGGCCTTACTAATAAACGTGCGAATAATTCAGGTGTATAATGTGCGGCGGTATTTCAATTTGCAACATACTATTATAGAGAGGTCAGCTAGGAGTTTTTGATTAAAGTGCCCTTCGCTAGTAAAGCCCAAACTCCTGGGTCGTCTACCATCCAACCTTGGGCTGGTCCTGTTAACAAGATCTTGATAGCCATAAGGTAATTCCCCGGTGGAACAGCCGGAGGGTCCAAGGTTTCCTACTGCGAGTGAATAATAATAGCGACTGCCTCTAGTCAAACGTAACCTTCATATTGAGGTCCCATTAGAAGTCCACGCAGGCCAGGCTCTGCTCGCTACGTTCCAAAGTCATCAAAGCCTTGCAGGAGGAGTCGAGGAAAAAAGGGTACCGCCTAATTGCAGATCTATAGCTAGTTGAGTTATAACTTTTTTTCCTTTGACATTGCCCTGCTTTTAAATATAGACCTTGGACCAAATTGAGGCTATGCATTGCAGGATTTGTAGATGACTACTAGTTCAACACCTAGTCTCAACCCCTTGCCTGCTCACGCAGATATATTTGACACCCTTGTAGGGCTTGACCCCTTCGCCTAAACCTCGACTTCTTCGAGAGTCAACAGTCAAAGAGTCAACACGTATACCACTGGGTAGCCAGCCGCGCACAGAAAACGATACCGAGGCCGATGAGGGCATTAATAAGGCATTGGCCTGCTTTTTCCGCATTTGTTTGACTGTTGGTGATAGACCTTCAGTCTTCTCCGGTTGGGTAGTATCATCTATCGTTGCCCCTGAATCTTGATAGCTTGCGCCCCCAGTTAAGGTCTCGTCATAATATCCTCTGAGAGGGTTCGAAGTTAATCGTCGAGTACGATCTTCACCATCTCCATCAACTATTTCGTCATCATCAAGCTCATGAAGGGGTCCGAGTATGGTTCCTTTTAGCGTGGCTGTGCCAGAGATTGATCCGTCCTTCTCTCTGGTAGGCACGCGCCATTCTAAAGATTCGTTTCCTGGCATAAAGGTCGCTTCTCCCCGACTCGGCTGGATATCAGTAATGTTCCGCACCGATGGTGGTATGGGAACTGTCACCACTACATCATCTAGGCTCGGAGACGACGAGCTACCGCCGATAGTTAAGAAAGAAGGGGTTGATGTTCCAGATCCACGACCTATCGAGTTCCCCATTCCCCCATTCCCACCTATACCAGCTCCACCTCCTCCGCTCCTTGAGGAAGTCCCTGGAAAACTGTTATTTAATGTTAGTCGCACTTCAAAATTTGATCCCGTAGGACCAAGGCCTTTCTTAATATCCACTGTAGCAGGAAGGAATAGCCTTTCCATATGGGCAGGCGGATTGTCATCCTCAGGATTAACAGGGAGCAGGTTGACTTCGTATCCTCCTAATATAAACCGTCCATCAGGGGGCACGAAGCTTAGTTCACCTGGCTTTTCTCTCCAACGTGCCAGACGGACACAAGGATGAAACACAGGTAATTCAATCTTATGCGCAAGACTTCTTTGACCCCCAGGAGCACTTAGGGAAAGAAGCAAATCCGGCACTCCTGATATCTTTGCTGTGAATACTATGGTACCGTGTACCAGTGCTGATATTGGCCTACCAGAGGGGGCAAATATAACCGATAAAGACTCGACTATGTCAACATACAGCTCATTTGAGGTATGTCGCACACCAGAACGTCTCCAAGGTATGGCTGGCGCATTTGCTCCGGCTACTGTGGGAGCGGTAGCAAGGGGTTGACTTAGAGGCTTTGCAAGAGCAGAAGCCTGCGACGCACTATCCCACCACACATACATCGTTAGCAATTATGACATCCATATAGGTGCGGACGCAAGGTGTATTGTGGTCAATATTCACCCAGGCA